CAGCTAAGTAAGCAGAAAGCCTTGGGACTCTTCCCCCTTCTTCCAGCCTCTTGAGTGATCATTGGCCCCATTTTCATGGCATTTATTTAAGCCATGCAGTACGGCTTTCAGATACTATAATGATATAACAAATTACATTCATAATAAAATAACAGATTACATTCTAGCCAAAGAAAGCTATCTAATACTGTGTGGGTAGGTGAGGCAGAGCCTCTAAGCCCAAGAATGCTGGTGTATCTCTCTAACCCATTTAGCAAAAACAAATGATCTGTGTAAAGCAGACCCCGCTACAGAATAGATTAGACACCTGTGCATAATTTAGTTCCAGTGTTGTGCCTCTTAGCTAACCTTGGCTGGTCTTGAGTGCTATGCAAACTTAGCCTTAATTACAGTTTGGATGGGGACCATCTGGGAAGCTCAGAGCTGTTGGCCAGATTTCAGCACTGAATTAATAAGAGCACTCTAGAAGAAGGCAGTGGCAAACCACTTTCCTTACGCTGCTTAGAAAGCATGGCTATGTCCATGAAAGCAAGGGTGAGATGCTACCGGTTCGGGCAAACCGGTAGCTTCTGACGATCAGCTGTGCCACAATCAGCTGTGCCGTGTGATTAGAAATCGCGCAGCGCAGCTGATTGACGCACAGCTGGTCGTCGGAACTACCGCTTTACCCGAACAGGTAGCATGTTTTTACTACTAGTTCAGGTGAACAGCGTGCATGCGCGCGCAAGCAAACCAGTAGCAGACTTCAGAGCATTTCACCCCTGCATGAAAGTCCCCAGAGTTGAGCATTGCTGAAAAGTGGAGGTTCTTGCTTCATGTTTTTGGGTTGGAATTTCCATCAGCCGGGTGCAGGTTTTAACCGAAAGTGAAACTGGATACGGGGCCGGAGCATTAGGCAGTCATGGTGTTCGAGTGCTTTTGCTGCAGTCATGGGTGCTGAAGAGAAAGTGGCAAAAGAAGCACATGCCTGGGAAGACAAACAATGAAGCTGGAAATGGGGATGAGTGGATGAGATGGGAATGAAAAAGGCATTTCCCGCAAGAGTAGAGATGTGCAGGGAGGGACAATGAAACGACAGGCAGAATGACCGAAAGGCAACAGAGCAGCTTATGGAGAAGAAAACATTGTCCCTGAGTTCTCTCTCCCCTCTAAACAAATTTCCCCTTCCACGGTTCAGGACCAAAATTGAGGAGATCCAACAACGGAAGGAAGAGGAGCTCAAATCTCTGAAACTCCATAACCAGAAGCTGCAGCAAGAACTCCAGTCCACAAATCAGGTAAAAGACATTTTTTCCTTCTCCTGTAATTCAGATTGAGTCACATTTAAGGCATGGCTAAGGAGACCTGATTGGTCGGATTTAGAAAGCATCAGCTAGAAAACCTCTTCATTGAAAGGGTTTAGTTTTATCCGTGGAGAGGTCTTGAGGCAAAGCCTAGCTGTGTATTTGCCCAGTTCTTTTCAGCTTTGGCTCTCTGATCCAGGGGTCCCCAACCCCTAGTCCATGGACAAGCACCGGTCCTCAGCATGCCAGAAATCAGGCCATGGTAACAGGTGAAGCTCCATCCACGGGATGCAGGCACCACACGAAACCACACCCCCTCCGGTCCGTGCAAAAACCTCTCTCTCTCCGTGGAACCAGTCCCTGATGCCCAAAAGATTGGCGGTGGTGCTCTAATCTGTACAGTAATTCTGGCTTTTCAGTGTCTAAAGCAGGGATTTTGAACCTTGGCAATGTTAAGATGTGTGGACTTCAACTCCCAGAATTCCCCAGCCAGTGAGACCTCTTAAGGTTGAGAAACACTGGTATATAAAGCGTGAATGTCTTTTTTTTGGGGGGGAGCACAATTTTCCCCAATGAAGCTTGAGAAATATGATGGGTTGTTTGCTTATTTATAAATCATATGTATAAGATTGTTCTACTCACCGGATAGATTTCTACTATCTCATGGAACTCCCATTCCTGAAATTTCTTGGAGGAAATGCCACAGACTTGTTAAAGTGGATAAAGCACAAATATAGCCAACAATAGTGGGCCATTTGTTTCCTGCTCTAGAAAATAGGATTCTCCCCCTCCGTTCTTCCTGTGCTTTTGTCTTTTTAGTGGTTCTGAGGTTTATTGATTCCACCTGATAATTTTTATGGGCATGGCTGTCTCCATCCAGGATGTGATCCTGGTGGAATTTAATGCAAACAGTGAAATCTTCCCTTTATGTTATTTCTCTGGTAAATGCCTTCCTTCTTTTTCAGGGCTTCTTGGAATTAAAGGGCCAATTGCAGAGTGGTCAAAAAGAACATGAACTGGCTCTTCAGACTCTGCAGGACCAGGTGAGTGAGCCTTCTACCTGTCTGCCACCCCCCCTCCCCCGCCCATGTGTTAAGAATCTCTGATCTGCCTCAAACTGTACTTTTGGCAAGAAGTTTACTTTCTGATATTGTAGGCCTTTGTGGAGGATTTAATCTCTGTTTTTGCTTTGGGGCAGGAGGGTTGATCTTATAGCTCCCATCAGTCTCAAGCAGTACTGAGTTGCTGGAACTAATGGCATATGAAAGGCATATGCATATAAACTTATGCCTGTTCTTGAAATAAGATGATAAGTGTATTGCATTAGAAGTAACAGATACCCAGGGAGCTCCCTGAATGGATTCTGGTTTTGGCCACAGAGCTATATGGTTTCAAAGTTTATTATAAGGCGATTCGGATTTACCACCAAAGAAGCAGAATTATATGGCCTGTATAAATTGTGCTATTAGAGTACATTTGGCATTAGGAATTCTAGACAGTATGAAACTCTGATTTTGCTTTTGTAGGCATGGACAAAGATTTATGTTTCTAATGATAACATGTTCTCAAGTCATAAAAGCTGGAGATGTGTGACCTTTTGAAGTTTAAAAAAATAATCTGTGTTTGTTATTATGTTTTGTAGTTTTTTCCTATGCTACTGTGGCCAAGGTCAGCCCAAAGTTATGTAGATGGTTGAACCAAACTTCCCTAATTGTTAATCATCCCTGATCATTGGCCAAGTGATTGAGGCTAACAGGAATCTAAAACGTTTAGAATGAATCATCTTAAGTGAAGCCTGAAATGTAAAAAAAAAAAGGAGGCCTTGGCTCCTGGCAGATAGACTGATTGGATCAGGAGGTAATAAAGGCAGTGCCTTATCACTCAGCTAGACTTCTCTCCTTTACGTTACATAGGGCTGCCCTGGGAAGTGATTCCAAAGTGCCTTCTTGCTTTCTAGTATTAGCCAGTTCAGAGGATAACTCCTATTTGAGTTACCCTGGTTGCTATTGGCTTCTGGCCCAATTCAGAGCGCTGATTATCATATATAAGCTCTGTACACTTGAACCAGTGGTGGGTTTCAAAAATTGTTCGAACCTACTCTGCGGGTGTGGCCTCCTTTGTGGGAGTGGCTTGCCGCCCATGTGACCGGATATGAAGATGCCGAGGACAATTTGCTAACAATTGGCAATCAGCCAATTGTTTATTTTTAATTGA